TTTCAAGCGTAAAATTTCCATAAATCTATCTCATTGCTTTCCTAAGCCTTAAATTTCGCCATAAATTCAAAACTCTAGTTCATTGCCTAGTTTCGATTTATATTAATTAGTTACCCAATAGCATAATTAGTACTTTCGTCTTAACAATAATAAATTCTATATTTTTGAACCACCGCCTATTATATCTCGAATGCATACCAACTAAATTAGTTATAGGTGATCTCACATCAATATTTCTTTGTTTAAAAAGTTTTTAGGAAGTATTCATACAAAATAAACAATATAATCTACTGTTTATTTTTCACAATTATTTTATGTATCTAGATTACTCACTTCATTTGTAATATTTATTTTACATGGTGACTACGATACTACTCATACTATCTTCTGCCTGCGACCTCGATCGCAAAAGATTCTTTAATCCTTACCTAGCTTTGAGAATACTCATTTACTATTTGTCAACTGATACCTTACCATTGTAAATATGAGGAAAAAGATTGTTAGTAACAAACCCCATTACTAATGGCCCCATTGCTAGCAATATACCCTATCAGGTCAACCTCCACACGGTTCTCCACGGTCCTCCTTCATCTCTCACTGGTGTCCTGCTAGTATATACGGATAGCGCAGGCGGGGTTGCCATGCCTTTTTTCCCCATAAAAAAGATACCCTTGTAAGTTGAATTGCATACCATCACATCGTAAACCCAGCACTAATACTCGTATTCTTGATGATAGATCAATATAGAATATATACTAGTTACTAAAACTATATATATATATATATATATATATATATATATATATATATATATATATATATATATATATATACCATAAGCATATATTTAAACATCATTTTAATATTAGTTTCATATAAACATACATAGCATATACCTACCTACAGATAGACTTAGCATTATGTTGATTTCTACAATAGAAGTAGAGCTCTCATAGAAGTTACAGTTTTATTATATTCATATATATATAGATGTTCAACATACAATCGCGAATAAATTATCTTGAGGAACTTATAAAAGTAATTATTTTATAAAAGAAAACAAAGGAAGTATGGCAAGATATAAACAAATAGCGCTCTATACTAAAAGCGAAAAGCCCAGATTATATATCACAGGTTTATTGTAGATTACATTTCAAGATTAATATAACCACTTTAAATAATAACACTCAATACTCTATTTCTATCAGTCAACTAAGATTTTAATGATGAGATATTCTGCAACAACATCTTCTATATTTCCTAACCCTCTTTCTCTAGAGTACTTAATTCTAACAACTCTAGGGTCTGTATACCACTTTTACACTCTGGCTTTATGTCATACTCACACTGGAGTTTCAGTGTAACGACATATGTTAAGTTGTTCATTTCTATTATTTCCTGGGAACCTATAAAATTAATTATTAATATATAATATACTAACAAGTACATATATTATAACACGTACGTGCAATAATATACTTTATTACTCGTACGTGTAAATTATGTATACGTTATATTTTCTTACATATGTATAACAATCTCGGTAACCATATTGTTTTGCATTAATAAGGTTCCCGAATTCGATTCTATATAAAAAAAAAAAAAATTTTCTAAGCTGGCTCGATACTGAGTGTTCCAGGTTATGCCTCTAAATGTTTATCGCCTGACTGCTTATAACAGAGGGCATCCTAACCAGAACCAGAAAAATAGTGTGATTGTGTACTATTTCTTATAGTAAAAAAATATAAAGTATATCTTACTTAGAATATAATATATCGGTACACCAAATTTCATATACCCATCTAACTGTTTTCTATGGAACTTAGAATATATGATGGAAAATATATATATATATATGAACATATATATATGTTTCGCATAATTGCCCCCATATTGCCATCCTGAGGACTCAAGTGTTATTCCTCTGTATCATTGGAAATTCACTGCCATATCCCACCCTTCAAACCAAAACGCAGCCATATAAACACAACTGCTTCACGGTAGAAACACAAATGGGACAGAGGTTCCCAAGCAAACAACTTTTGTACAAAGTCCCCTTCTAGTATGTTTAAGGGTAAGTAAATGAGCATATCAAACGATCAATATGTTAGAATTATCACAAATAAATTGTATATATATATATATATATATATATATATATATATATATATATATATATATATATATATATATATATATATATATATATATATATATATATATATATATATATATATATATTGGTCTGCTCATGCAAGAAGAGTATCATACGAAAGGGCTTCATTTGTATATTTAAAAACTACTTTTATACTATGTAGTGTTTTAGTTATAATAGATGAAAAATGAAAAGTTTCAAAAGCGAAAATTGTGAAATAATTGCAGTTTATAAAAGTATATATGAATATTATAGAAAAAAATAACAAAAAGTATCTAACTGTTTTTGAGAAATTATTAAAAAACTTCCAAAAACAAACTTTGTTATGCGGTCCAGATTTAACCACAATTATTTATTTATTATTTATTGCATAATAAAACTTCGTACAAATGGCAATAATAATAAATATTAGGTATCTATTTCGTATGATAAATGCTGTCGTCATTTTATATCATATATATTTATGTATGGAAACCTCGGCGTGTGCATTCAACTGGCAAATGACCGGTTTTTATTTTGGTTTATTTTTTATATTTAATACTCATAATTACTAATTTTAAAAAACAAATACTCGTAGAGTAGCAAATAAGATGCTTACAAAAAATAATTCTGTCGTCATTTCGGTGGCGTAATTTGACTAGCTTATCTGTATCGATACGTCATGTAAAATATAACTACTATAGCTAAATTACGAACTGTAATTACTATTTCCTGAATTTAAATTTTTGCATTTTTTTTTTCTTTTACAAACTGTCACCAATTTTTTGATTAAAAAATTTACAAAATTACAAGTAAGTTTTAGTCAACAAATTTACTATATAGATACTTACCTAATTATGGAATTACTTTTTGTAAATATTTTCTTAAACGGTCCTCATAAATTGTATAGTACCAATACAGAGGTATACTCTATCAATTTAAAACAGATACTTCGAAATCGGTATTAAAAAATGGCGAATATGTTACATAATATATACAGGAAAGAAAATACAGTCCATTGAAAACCGTATTTTTATTCAAATATCAATGCTCATGAGGATTAATATCAACTATTACAACGACTATTATCCCATCCAGTTTAATTTTGTGCAATGAATATTTTTACTACTCACGCTATCTAAATATTATGTAAAAGACTGTAATATTGTATGCGTTCACAGGAGATAATAACAATTTACACATTACTTTAGCTTATTATATACAAAGATACTTCCTATCGTGTAGATAAATAAACACACACTCTCATATAAATAAAATTATGATAGTAAAAATGATATCTAAAATCAATGCCTCCCTTTTTAAATGAAAAGTCTTCTATTTTCTTTAGTATTGTCTTGGAGGTTTTTTTTTTTTTTTTTTATTTTAAAATGTTAATGCCAAAAAATTTAAAGTGAAAACATTGAGCTTTTTTAGTTATAGATTCACAATTGCATTTTTTTTAATAGTAAATAAAGTTTTAAAATTGTAGATTTAAAATTTAGAATAATAGACTCGTGTCGAAACTTTAGTCTATTTTTCAATACATCACTCAATACCGAATTTAGATACACTTTACGGAAATACAAGTTTCGAGTACCTATGTCATTCAAATCGTAATTTAATAGCAATTTTTATGTTATATATTTTACTCATAGAATTCATATATTGTTCATCTAATTTACAATAGCCATTTAGTTAGTTTAGTGGGTATTTTTTACATCTAGTAGGTAAATACCAGAGAAGTAATATTTGTTTTGCCCAAAACAAGGTAAGTTGCAGACCTATTAGAAGTCGTATTATCTGGGTCATTACACGAGACGTGTTTCAGCAAACTACAAGGGCATAATATGTAGATAACACGTTAGGTACGTAATTTACAAACCTGATTCACACTTGGCATAAACAGTTGAATGAAACCTATATCAAGAACTAATTAGGTTTGCATTTTGATGATTTCGTCAAAAATTTTTACATAACGTTGGCATAACTTCATCATTAACCATTAATATATTTATTTTCCTTACCTTAGCCCTATATCTGTCAATGATAACTCAACTTTTTACCGTTATAATATTATCTATATACCTATACCCTAAACCTTGTCATGTCGACCACCACGCGATTCTTCTTGGCCCTCAGTTATTAACTTACTATCGAAATTAACATCTAGAAAATTTTAATATCATCGTCACATTTGTCCATCGACCATAGTGCAAAAAAAAGTTTTCTTCATTTCAGCCATTATCCGTCCACTGCTGTGACCATAAGCCTCCCCCATAGACTGCCATAAAGAACGGTCGTGAGCCACCTGCATCCACTCACTCCCTGCAATGCATTTCAGGTCGTCACTCCATCTAGTGGGGGGGTCACTTGCGTTTTTTAAAAAGTAAATTAAATTATATAATAACTACCAATTTACCTTACGTGTAATATGATCGAGAAAGCTCGACTAGTTTCGAGACCATCCGGGACCCTTAGTCTACCCTTAGTACCCATAACAACAACCAGACATTATTAAATTAGATCATTTCATCCTCATCTTTCATTCTCCACTATATTATATTATTATGCCCTACTATTATATTATATATCGTCAGAATTAGCATAAAACTACGCTCATACAATTTCAACGCGATAGTCAAAATGTAAGGAGTCCATAATTTAGTTGCATAAATCTCTGGTAATGTATAAAAAAAAATTAGAAGACAGAAAAACGTGTTCTATGGGCAAAATTTTTTATTGCAGTAATGTGTTTCTGTTCGAGAATATACTATAGTCGAAATTTACACAATTCGACTATATATTCGAGCTGCGGTGTCGTGTGTAAATGTAGCTAGACATTGGAGTAAATAATATATGCAATTACACTTTCAATATTATTATAAATTGTTGCGGTATGCAGAAGCTTCAAGTTGCTCAGCGAGCAATGGAGAGTGTCATACTTGGAGTTTCTTTGCGTGATAAAATCTGAAATAAATATATCCGTAGATGAACAAAATGCGTTGATCACATAGCTCGAAAAACCGAAAACTGATGAGGAAAAAAGATTTTTAATTAACAACCGCAGTATAAGACGACCTTCCTCTAGATGGAGCGATGACCTCAAATGCATTGCAGGGAGTCAGTGGATGCAGGTAGCTCGAGACTGTTTCTTATAGCAGTCTAGGGGAGAGGTTCATGTTCAGCAGTAGACAGTAAATAACTGAAATGATGATAATTATAAAATACAGATATAAAAATAATTTATACATTACTAGCTCTCTCTACATGTATATCATATATTATGACAATTGTTTGAGATTTTTCAGGCACTTAGATGTAACAAACAAATAAATTCACTTTCACATTTATAATATTATAATAAGCATTCGCTTTATCTTATAGTACCTATTTAAACAGGAGTTAATCATTTCACAGTCCCTGTACCTAATACATATCAATAGAGTACGAATCATGTTTACCATCATTAATATCCAAAATACCAATTATATTCACCTTTATGCTGTCGATAATATAATACTTATTTAATTAACAAACAATGACATAAAAATAAATACAGACAGTGAAATATAATTCGGATTTTTCCATACAGAAACTGAATTAACTAAGTAACTTATAATTGGTATTAATGTAGGTATTTAACATAAAACTACATATAACAATTGAAGATTTCACAAAATACTTTTAACTGATTTCAATGGTTGTAGATTCAATCCCACATACGAATGTTTGTATACATTCATATTCATGAGTAAGCGTATATTGTTTGTACTACAAATTAGTAGAAACTTATCCTTACAAATAAAATTATTCAAATTATTTTACTTAAAATTATTTTCTATTTATTGTTTAAAAAAAAACCTATATACTTATATATTAAGTCTACTACTAAACCCATGTAGGTAAGTACTAGATACCTGTTTATAAGTTATTTAGCATTTACTATATACAGCTCTTAAATTATAATATTACCTACTACATGTAAAACTATCCTATCTAATAGCATCCTATCTTACAGCATTCAATTATGTACTTAATTCTCAGTCAATAATTAAAATAATTAAATAAATATTAATCAACAATTGTTTGCTTACCATTTATTTTAGACACACTTCATAATTGTCTGCGAAAACTAACACAATTTAACAGTTAATATATGTATCTTAATAGGAAATCCATTATTATACACTTATGTATATTTTTCAAATAAAAATGCTTATATTAAATAGATATATTTTATCTATTTTAATGACAACATATCACAGTTTTTACAACACAGGTAGCAATAAAAATAAAAATCAATAAATCATTTGTTTTTGTTTATGTCAAGTGTGTTTTCCCGCGTTTTTACGCCCACCGCGCATGCGTTGATGTAACTTTTTAAACTGTGCATGCGACAGCGGTTTAGGTTATACTGCCATTTGATTGCCATGAGATAACCAGCTCTACACAATCATTTCGCAATCGTTTAATTTTCCTGTCACGGTCTGTGATGTTAAATATCAATCAGATGAATGATTATAGTATATAAAGTAAATTTCAAAAGAATATCTTTTGAGAATTGACATCTAGTTTACTACACATAGATAACAAACTAGACTATAAGCAGGTATGTCTAGGATGATCATAAAAACGAGACGAAACGGTGATTACACTTGTATGCGTGAAATGTAAATATGAGCATGGAACTGTGCTGCACCGTGTCTCGTATAGCATTATATTATCTGTGACCATTACTATTATAAATCGAAACAAAAAAAATCAATTTTATTTAAAAATATATTGGTAATTTTATACGTTAAAAATTATTTATTTAACTTCAATATAAAGTAATATAGTATGAAGTATGTACCTACATATTGTGTAATGATTATGTTGTAAATATATTTCATTTTGGAAACCAAATATCTTTGTGGACTTAATACATGATATTAATACATACATATAATAGTGTATTTTTAACCGACTTCCGAAATAAGAAAAGGTTTCAAGTCGGTCGTATTTTTTAAGTTTGTTACCTTACAATTTCTTTTTTTTTGTCTGATATACTTGTATCTCATAGAAATTTTATTATAATTGATTCAGTAATTTAGATTTTGGATAAAATAATTGGTTTTGCAAAACTAATTTACAGTAAAAATAAAAATTAATCGAAATAAAAAAACAAATATTCTAAAATACTATGTAACTTGATATCCTTAATTTAATCAAAAATGAAACGCCCTATCAAGAAAGTCACAATTTACTTATTTTTAATCAAGTATATCGTTGTAATTTAGAATGTTACATTATATCCTTATATATAAGAAGTCTTTGCTCAGACGTGTATAATGAATGGGTGATATTATTTTATTATTTTTACGTCTGTGGTCATTTAAAAAATATTTATAATTATTAAATTACAATTATTAATATATAAATATAAATATTAGTAAGAAATTAATATACATGTCTTAATTAAAATGGCGGATATTTTCAATTATTTAAAAACAAACCTATTTTATATCTACACTATTTACGAATTGACTATTTTTTTTATACAACAAGCTAACGGCCCACCTGATGGAAAGGTAACCGTCGCCTATAGACATAAGCAATATTATGAACATAACAGAGTATACTGTTTCGCCCATGATAAATGCGTTGCCATTCTTGAGGACTCGAGTGTTATTCCTCTGTACCCTGTAAATTCACGCCATATCCCACCCTTTAAACCGAAACATAGCCATGCAAATACAACTGCTTTACGGTTGAAACACGAATAGGACAGAGGTAGCCAAGCAAACGACTTTTATACAAAGTCTCCCTCTATTTATCTGGTTCTTTCAAATATATAAAAATTTAAATCGTTTGTCTTTTTCAATGTAACCTTACAATATACTTTCTTCCATATACTTAATAATAAAATGCGTACCGTATGAACATAAAAACAAAATAATAATAAATGTGCATTATAATAGCCGTGAGGTACCAGCATAGAATGGGTCACCCCTTCTCTTCATTTGGTCGTCTTAAGAAGTGACTAAGGGAACTTAATGGTCGAGGAATAGGCAGTAGCACACCTTTTAAAACAAGCAAAAATATCACAAATACATTTTGACCTGTTAACATATAGATAAACAAGTCCAATTATTCCAATCACTACTGAATGAACCGGAGTACGAATCAAACATGTCCACAGACTCATTAATACTTATATTAATATTAATATTAATAGGTTATTATAGATAGCTCCAACTGTAGGTCGTAATCTACGAGAATTTCAAATAATAACAAAAGCAGTATGCACATGTATTTTACAAGAGAAGGCAAATAGATCCAAACGATAAATATTTTGATTTAAACAAAACATTATATGGCTTTTCTATTTATTAATCAGCATTTCTATCGTTCCTCTTTATTACTTTCAAGCTAATCTAAAAAGTCCTAGAGTGAAGTTAGATATATATATATCAGAATCTTTGTAAATATAAAACGTAATATATGTTCTCTATGTACATACCTACATAAATATTATACTTTTATAGTGTAAGAAAATATTATACGTATGCAAATAATAATTAATAATAATTGAATACTTATTTAAAAAAATAATCCATTTATTTCGAGAATTTTAATTCATTTATGGAGAATATATTATTCGGATACTCGCAACACAAAAAAATAACGCAATTTTTTTTTAAAAGAAATGTCAATATTTATAATTGTATTTATGTTTAAAATTTAAGATACTAATACGTTATAATATGTACTTACCACTTATTAGTTTTATTTTGTGTCTTATAAGTTTTGCACCTTTTTAATGCACATAAACTTTTTTATTAAATAATTAAATCTAGATACGTCAAGATTAGCTGTGTACCATAGAGCAAGTAATCACTATGCTGTGTACGTAAATATCTTAGATTATATAGATAGAGCAGCATCTAGCCCTAAAAACGGGTCATTGTAGCAGATTAACAAATTAGCTGTCTCTATTTTTTTATTATTGTTCTATATACTTACGCACACAACGTATCTTGACGTATCAACATCTAATTATTTAATAAATAAAGTAAGTTTTTGTCTATTAAAAAGATATTCGTATTCAAAGAAATCAGTTAAATAATAAAAAATGAAAATGGCCGTCACTTTTAATGACATTATCCATCCATATTTATAGCATACATGGATCTACAAATACCGATTTTCAACCTTCACATCAAAATTTTTCTAATTTTTAAATAAATAAATTTTAAATAATAATAATAATTAAATATTTTTTTTAAATAATATGAAGCAATATGAAATAATTATAAAGTTCTGTCTGCCGCATTCTTATTTTTTATCTACGCATTGTTCTTAATAAATAATATAATTAAATATGAAAATAAAGTTAAATATTACAAAGGATCCCTATAATATTTTAAGCTACGACTTTCACCTATTTACCTTAATCTAAAGTAATAATTTGTAATATGGTAACCCTGTCATGTATTTGTATAAAAACATTGACCTGGTTTTTCGAAACATTTTTATGGAGATGTACTATCTATATAATATAAGGTGAATATATAGGATACAAATAAAAAAAAAACGAGTCGGATAATTTGACAATTAGCTGACAAAAAGTTGACCCGTTTTTAAAACTCGACACTTTATCAATATAATCTAAGTTAGATGCACACGAATATACGAATCAAACCAAATACCTAAATGATTATTACATAAGCAAGTACATTATTTATATTTGCCTTGAAAAAACTGCACAATATCTCCAAATTATTGCCAAGAATAAAATAAATAAGAGCCAAAGGGATGAGATTGTTCTCTTTCTTAAGGTTGATAGAAAAATAAATGTTAAAAGTTCTAATTTCATGCTAACATCATAGCATAATATTTATTCTAAAGACGTAGTATGTATAACTTCTAAGAGACACTCATGTTTACAGACTGGTCTAGACCATTCAATTCTAAAACCCAATAATACTCATAATTTCAAATAAGAAGAACGGGCAAGAAACACAGCTATTTCTTTAAAATAAAAATTAAATTTACTATGAAAAAATTTTAATGGATAAAATGACTATTACAAACTGTGTTTTTAAAAAAAGAAAATAAAAAATTACTAAGCTACAATCATATATATATTATGTATAATCATAATATTCTTGAAAAAACCAATCCCTACTAGCAGCTCCCATTCACGAGTATTACAGATGATCCAGCCGTGGTTATGTTCAACCATATTATAGGAAACCCAACGACCTGCTACCAAACTGAACATTAAAGTAATCATGACTAGTTTCAAAATACGCAATTACATCAAAAATACTGAACTAAATTAAATGTGATAATCAGTATACTCACTTATTACATAATTAATATGTTATCTATATATTTAATTCAATAACTTTATGTCATGACTAACTTAAGTGATCACTTCACGACAAATTAATATTAATACAGTATTTCAGGTTTATTTATGAGATACGATTTTTATTGTCGATTGTACCTATACTATTATGCATCATTTTTGTACTATTCTACTCCCGTTTTACCTATGTGCATTAGCATAATAACATTCTGTTTAATCCTAGATTGTATGATGTAAATGGTTTAAAAGTAATAATGTAAATTGTAAAACAAATAAAAAAAAATAAACAAATAAACAAATACAAAGTTTTAACGCAAAATTACATTATTTGTATTTAGAAATTAATCTCTTTACGGATGAATTTGTTTTTGTCTCCTTATCTTAAATAATATAAGATGGATATCTTACGGAAATATTACATAAGTAGCTAATTTTCCTTAATAAATATGAAAAACCACTAAAGGTTCATTGGTATTTTGGCTATCTTGGCTATCACAAAAACAAATTATTTAAAATTATATTTTCGATAACAAAATTTGGGTAATTGCACTGTACTCTGACCATCCTACTCATTAATATAGTCGTGAACATTTTATTTCAATGCACCCAAACAAAAAGTCTCTAATCTTCAAGTTAGGCTACTTTAGTATAAATAAACAATAAACACTATGAATAATAAAACATGAAACAAATTCTGATAACCTTGCGTTGATACCAGAAATAAATTAAAGCCGGATTGTTTTTTTTTTTTTTTATTTAACATCTACTAAGTAGACAATCTCTTATTAGTTACAGGAATAATAAATCGCACAGAATCTGGTTACCGACCAGTACTTAACTGTCATTTGTCTATTAAGAGATTTCCAAGAATCTCCTTCTTCTTTCTAATTCATTCTTTTTTTAATTGATAATGTATACTCCCGTGTCGGTGGCATATTATTTTTATTACAACTAAATTCGACATTTTTCTATGTAATATAAACAGACGTAACATTAGATATTGTTACAATTCCGCGTTATAAATTTAAAATAGAAATAATCTCATGTCAAACAACATCTTGTGT